GATGAACATGCATGGAGTAGGATGAACATGCATGGAGTAGGATGAACATGCATGGAGTAGGATGAACATGCATGGAGTAGGATGAACATGCATGGAGTAGGATGAACATGCATGGAGTAGGATGAACATGCATGGAGTAGGATGAACATGCATGGAGTAGGATGAACATGCATGGAGTAGGATGAACATGCATGGAGTAGGATGAACATGCATGGAGTAGGATGAACATGCATGGAGTAGGATGAACATGCATGGAGTAGGATGAACATGCATGGAGTAGGATGAACATGCATGGAGTAGGATGAACATGCATGGAGTAGGATGAACATGCATGGAGTAGGATGAACATGCATGGAGTAGGATGAACATGCATGGAGTAGGATGAACATGCATGGAGTAGGATGAACATGCATGGAGTAGGATGAACATGCATGGAGTAGGATGAACATGCATGGAGTAGGATGAACATGCATGGAGTAGGATGAACATGCATGGAGTAGGATGAACATGCATGGAGTAGGATGAACATGCATGGAGTAGGATGAACATGCATGGAGTAGGATGAACATGCATGGAGTAGGATGAACATGCATGGAGTAGGATGAACATGCATGGAGTAGGATGAACATGCATGGAGTAGGATGAACATGCATGGAGTAGGATGAACATGCATGGAGTAGGATGAACATGCATGGAGTAGGATGAACATGCATGGAGTAGGATGAACATGCATGGAGTAGGATGAACATGCATGGAGTAGGATGAACATGCATGGAGTAGGATGAACATGCATGGAGTAGGATGAACATGCATGGAGTAGGATGAACATGCATGGAGTAGGATGAACATGCATGGAGTAGGATGAACATGCATGGAGTAGGATGAACATGCATGGAGTAGGATGAACATGCATGGAGTAGGATGAACATGCATGGAGTAGGATGAACATGCATGGAGTAGGATGAACATGCATGGAGTAGGATGAACATGCATGGAGTAGGATGAACATGCATGGAGTAGGATGAACATGCATGGAGTAGGATGAACATGCATGGAGTAGGATGAACATGCATGGAGTAGGATGAACATGCATGGAGTAGGATGAACATGCATGGAGTAGGATGAACATGCATGGAGTAGGATGAACATGCATGGAGTAGGATGAACATGCATGGAGTAGGATGAACATGCATGGAGTAGGATGAACATGCATGGAGTAGGATGAACATGCATGGAGTAGGATGAACATGCATGGAGTAGGATGAACATGCATGGAGTAGGATGAACATGCATGGAGTAGGATGAACATGCATGGAGTAGGATGAACATGCATGGAGTAGGATGAACATGCATGGAGTAGGATGAACATGCATGGAGTAGGATGAACATGCATGGAGTAGGATGAACATGCATGGAGTAGGATGAACATGCATGGAGTAGGATGAACATGCATGGAGTAGGATGAACATGCATGGAGTAGGATGAACATGCATGGAGTAGGATGAACATGCATGGAGTAGGATGAACATGCATGGAGTAGGATGAACATGCATGGAGTAGGATGAACATGCATGGAGTAGGATGAACATGCATGGAGTAGGATGAACATGCATGGAGTAGGATGAACATGCATGGAGTAGGATGAACATGCATGGAGTAGGATGAACATGCATGGAGTAGGATGAACATGCATGGAGTAGGATGAACATGCATGGAGTAGGATGAACATGCATGGAGTAGGATGAACATGCATGGAGTAGGATGAACATGCATGGAGTAGGATGAACATGCATGGAGTAGGATGAACATGCATGGAGTAGGATGAACATGCATGGAGTAGGATGAACATGCATGGAGTAGGATGAACATGCATGGAGTAGGATGAACATGCATGGAGTAGGATGAACATGCATGGAGTAGGATGAACATGCATGGAGTAGGATGAACATGCATGGAGTAGGATGAACATGCATGGAGTAGGATGAACATGCATGGAGTAGGATGAACATGCATGGAGTAGGATGAACATGCATGGAGTAGGATGAACATGCATGGAGTAGGATGAACATGCATGGAGTAGGATGAACATGCATGGAGTAGGATGAACATGCATGGAGTAGGATGAACATGCATGGAGTAGGATGAACATGCATGGAGTAGGATGAACATGCATGGAGTAGGATGAACATGCATGGAGTAGGATGAACATGCATGGAGTAGGATGAACATGCATGGAGTAGGATGAACATGCATGGAGTAGGATGAACATGCATGGAGTAGGATGAACATGCATGGAGTAGGATGAACATGCATGGAGTAGGATGAACATGCATGGAGTAGGATGAACATGCATGGAGTAGGATGAACATGCATGGAGTAGGATGAACATGCATGGAGTAGGATGAACATGCATGGAGTAGGATGAACATGCATGGAGTAGGATGAACATGCATGGAGTAGGATGAACATGCATGGAGTAGGATGAACATGCATGGAGTAGGATGAACATGCATGGAGTAGGATGAACATGCATGGAGTAGGATGAACATGCATGGAGTAGGATGAACATGCATGGAGTAGGATGAACATGCATGGAGTAGGATGAACATGCATGGAGTAGGATGAACATGCATGGAGTAGGATGAACATGCATGGAGTAGGATGAACATGCATGGAGTAGGATGAACATGCATGGAGTAGGATGAACATGCATGGAGTAGGATGAACATGCATGGAGTAGGATGAACATGCATGGAGTAGGATGAACATGCATGGAGTAGGATGAACATGCATGGAGTAGGATGAACATGCATGGAGTAGGATGAACATGCATGGAGTAGGATGAACATGCATGGAGTAGGATGAACATGCATGGAGTAGGATGAACATGCATGGAGTAGGATGAACATGCATGGAGTAGGATGAACATGCATGGAGTAGGATGAACATGCATGGAGTAGGATGAACATGCATGGAGTAGGATGAACATGCATGGAGTAGGATGAACATGCATGGAGTAGGATGAACATGCATGGAGTAGGATGAACATGCATGGAGTAGGATGAACATGCATGGAGTAGGATGAACATGCATGGAGTAGGATGAACATGCATGGAGTAGGATGAACATGCATGGAGTAGGATGAACATGCATGGAGTAGGATGAACATGCATGGAGTAGGATGAACATGCATGGAGTAGGATGAACATGCATGGAGTAGGATGAACATGCATGGAGTAGGATGAACATGCATGGAGTAGGATGAACATGCATGGAGTAGGATGAACATGCATGGAGTAGGATGAACATGCATGGAGTAGGATGAACATGCATGGAGTAGGATGAACATGCATGGAGTAGGATGAACATGCATGGAGTAGGATGAACATGCATGGAGTAGGATGAACATGCATGGAGTAGGATGAACATGCATGGAGTAGGATGAACATGCATGGAGTAGGATGAACATGCATGGAGTAGGATGAACATGCATGGAGTAGGATGAACATGCATGGAGTAGGATGAACATGCATGGAGTAGGATGAACATGCATGGAGTAGGATGAACATGCATGGAGTAGGATGAACATGCATGGAGTAGGATGAACATGCATGGAGTAGGATGAACATGCATGGAGTAGGATGAACATGCATGGAGTAGGATGAACATGCATGGAGTAGGATGAACATGCATGGAGTAGGATGAACATGCATGGAGTAGGATGAACATGCATGGAGTAGGATGAACATGCATGGAGTAGGATGAACATGCATGGAGTAGGATGAACATGCATGGAGTAGGATGAACATGCATGGAGTAGGATGAACATGCATGGAGTAGGATGAACATGCATGGAGTAGGATGAACATGCATGGAGTAGGATGAACATGCATGGAGTAGGATGAACATGCATGGAGTAGGATGAACATGCATGGAGTAGGATGAACATGCATGGAGTAGGATGAACATGCATGGAGTAGGATGAACATGCATGGAGTAGGATGAACATGCATGGAGTAGGATGAACATGCATGGAGTAGGATGAACATGCATGGAGTAGGATGAACATGCATGGAGTAGGATGAACATGCCTGGAGTAGGATGAACATGCATGGAGTAGGATGAACATGCATGGAGTAGGATGAACATGCATGGAGTAGGATGAACATGCATGGAGTAGGATGAACATGTATGACGCCGGATGAGCATGCATGAAGGCGGTCGCAGTCGGATGGCGAACGGCGCGGTGGGCGAACGGCGCGGTGGGCGAACGGCGCGGTGGGCGAACGGCGCGGTGGGCGAACGCGTCGCCTGTCACAACAACAACAACATTAGTCAGGAACACCAGCGGAAGGGGAGGCGTTCCTTCAAAGCTTCCCGGGAGATCGAGATAGATATAACATTCCTTGGAGCTTTTTGAACTTGCGAGGAGCATTTGGAGTTCGTCGTAGAGAGATATAGCTTCATCTTTTTGCATTCTGGCGGCTGGAAGAGGTGAGGGATTACTGGAAATACGAGGAATTGTCTTTGCGTTGCCAGGCTTGATAGTGATGCTGTCATGCGTGAGAGGAAGGGGAGAGAGAGAGAGAGAGAGAGAGAGAGAGAGAGAGAGAGAGAGAGAGATATATATATATATAAGATATATATATATACACACACACACACACACAGACACACACACACACAGACACACACACACACATATATTATATATATAGATATTATATATATATAGATATATATAGATATACATATATATAGATATAGATATATATATAGATAGATATATATATATTATATATTTATATATTATATATATATATATTTTTTTTTTTTTTTCATATATATTATATATTTAGTAAATTCTTAAAATGAATTATTAGTTATAATGGTTGATATGCTCATAGCCTTGACAATTTTAAGGTGATATCTTGAACACTACAGAAAAGTTCTTTATATTTAGTATCAAATACACCATATGCTCAGTAATAATACTGTTTCAGGACCCTTATATACAATGGAAGCCAGAAACAAGTGGCCATCACAGCAATTCTGGTTATCCTTTGTGTCCAACCAACTCTGTAATGAATATGAATATGGTAGGTAGAGCTGATCCATTGATATTGTTGTTAACATAACATTAAGGAATGCAGACCATTTTTGTAGTCACGTGTTGTAAAGAGGAAATTATAGAATTTATATTCTAGAAATATACAAAACAGCAGTGCTTCTGTTTGGGGGATGTGTTAAATTTTGTTAGACTTATAATGAATGGTCAGCTTAGTTTCAGCGATATCTTAATCTACTTAATCATACAACTCTAAAAGAACTAGTGATATATTAAGAGGGAAAAGATATGTTTAGAGCACAGGTTTCAAGAGTAAAAGACTCAACACTTTGCTTTTCTTTTCAGAAGGAGGAACCTGCCATCGACCCCGTCAATACTCTGAAATGTCCTTACTGTCCCAAGACTTTCCTCTACCCTGCCAAACTGCAAAGCCACCTACGAACTCACACGGGAGAGAAACCTTTCGCCTGCCCTTTCTGCACGTACCGAGCTACGCAACAAGGAAACCTCAACCGCCACATTAAGATTAAGCATCACAGAGAGAACCCAGAAAACCCGGAAGGTAATTAGATGATGATAATTGTGTGTATTGTTGTTACATGAAATAACATTGTAACATTGTTTTTTTTAGAACTGGATAGAAGATCTTTAGGAATCAGTGGTGCATTGATTATCATTATTAAAGTGCAGAAAAAGAGCGTTTTATAAGAAATGAAAAAAAAAACTTTTAACAAATTACTTGATCAACTATGCAATAATATCTTAGGAGTTTTTAAAGTTTTGAAAGAAAATAAATAGTTGTGGTCATCAAACCCTTTAATTATAGTAGTAAGATAAACAAATTTCTTTGGTAATAGAAGAAAGGAGCATGTTCTATTAGCTTTCAGGAGCAATGGATAATAAACACTTTTAAAGAACAGTCAGAAAAAGCTAACATATATGATATGATTTATGCATGTGTGTGTGTGTGTATGTCTGTGTGTAAGAGTGTATGTATGTATGTCAGAGTGTATGTGTGTGTGTAAGAGTGTGAGTATGTGTGTGTGTATGTGTGTGTGTGTGTGTGTGTGTGTGTGTGTGTGTGTGTGTGTGTGTGTGTGTGTGTGTGTGTGTGTGCATGTGAGTATTTAAGTATGTGTTTATATTCATGCAAGCTCACTAAAAAATTATTGTCAAGTTTGTGCCGATCAGGACTGGGAGACGGGAATGGCAATTTGACTTTTTTTTTTTTCTTTCTTTTTCCCCTTTGTCTTTCATATTGTACACTGATTTGAGATTATTTATATGATACAGTATTGTTTGGATATTCCTTACAATATATAATAACTACAGCCAATACCTCTCCCAATAAAGGAAATGAATTGAAGTAAATGAATGACCGCTTGCCATTAGTGACTATTTTAGGGATTTCTGCCTTTTTTCTTAACTTTGAATTCCATCTGGAAATTAAGCATATAAGTTGGCTGAATTTCTTTGTACAGTTGCTTTTGCAGTGTTATACAAATTAATAGTATTATAATTCCAGTGTCACATAATGAAAAGGTTGACAAGTTAGTCAGTTTAAGAGAATTAGTTGTTTCATAATGCAAGACCTATGGGCATATTTGCATTTTTGTAGTTGTAGATACATTCAGATAAGTAAGGAGAGATGAAGACAAGGTTGAATGGCTTCATGGTAGAATGCTCTCATGACTACCTCTTAATAGTAAGGTTCCTAGAATAAATATTTATTTGTACATATTAAACTTTTTACGTAGAGCAAGACTGTGTCACCTGCATCTAGTGGATTCCAGATAATGAAGTTTCATTTTCTTAAGGATTTTAATTTCATGTGCATAAAATGTGTACTAGTGTTATGAAGGTAATTTTCTCCCTTAAGCATCTATGTGATTAGTGGTTTAAGAGACGTAGCAGTTATCTAGCCTCTGGTAAGTAATATCTTACCAATCAGATTACTGTAAAACAAAAGAGTATAAACAGCTAGTTACCAGTTACTTGAAAGACTGATAGAAATGGGTGCTAAGTTCATATTACAAATGATGCTTATGCACCTTGAATTATAATAATGGAATGTATATAGATAAAAAATGGTCAGAGTTCTGGTTCTCAGATGATAGTTAGCATTTGATCATAGGGAATGGATATGCTATAATTGTGTATGTTTTTGATGAAAATGTTGGCCATATGATTGTTAGGCATACTTTTTGTTTAACAAAAACAGTTGCAAAGTTCTCAGTGAATTATTTAGGAAGACCCTTTCCTCTCTTCTTCCTTTTTATCTCAAGATATCATTTCTCCTTCCACTATCACAGACTGCAACAGAAAATTCAAATGAAAAAAAAAGGAAGGAACAACTGTGGGCATTTTGTATTTTCCATAACTTGAACACTCTCAGCAAATAATATTTTGGTATTTTAAATATTTTGGTATTTTAAATTTATGTGGAAAATTGGATAATTTATTTGTCATTCTAGGTATTATACACCATGGTAGTATATAAAGGCATTGACATCTCAGTCTAGCCCAAGGGTAATGTAATTGTCAATGCATATAATCCTCATTAATGATTATAATAGAACACAGACCCAACACTAACTCAAGGTGACTTTAGGTTGATTCCCTTACCATCCCCAACATGTGCTGGCAATACCACAGCCTCTGCCCCTCAGGGATCTTGTTTTATGGAGACCACATTGTTAAAAGGATTAGTAGGGTCTTGTTTCTATAAGGTATAGGCGTTATGTAACTTTTGGAGAGTAACCTGTACTTGTAAACAAAGATATTTTAATAACAGACCAATTGCCTCTTTAAGGTGCTGCTCATTTTCTAGATCTTACAAGCACTTGCGTGTCTGTTTCTGTTTTTCCATATGTTTCAGGCACTTGAAAGTTCAAATAATACATTTTTTACATTGCTTAATGTAGAAGACCAGGCACATGAAATGTTTGATGTTGGTATTTGACTTACCCATTGATGTGGGGATGGCATGTACATAAATGCCTTGTCCACTATGATTCCCCTCAATATGTTTAAGACCTCACTTTCCATTGTTTCTGTTTCCTGCTATTTTTCTTTCATCATCAGATCAGTTATTTTAAGCCACAGATCATTGGTAGATGTTGATTTCCACATATCAAGTTTCATTCCCTTTGGTGCATCACACAACTACTGATATATGGTAAAAAAGTTGAATTTTTGTCCAAGATTCAAAGAAGTGAACATCTGGTTTCTTAGCTTTCAGATATGCAAATGCAGTTAAGAGAAGTTCCTTCCTTTTTATTTTTTCTGGGTATTGTGAATCACATTATTCTTTTGCAAAGAAGTATACCCTAGAACTGTAGTGGAGGGGGAAATTGATATATCAAATGCAACTTTGCCATTTTCCACAATGTGTAAGATAAAAGCTTTCAAGTCTTGTAGCTCTTGCATTAGTTTGGTCTTCTGTGCTTCCATAGATGGTAGTTAAGAAATGTGTTCAGATTGTAAATGAGCTGATACATGGTCTGTGTGGCAGTTGATAAATATATTTTATCTTGAAAATATACAAATACAGGAGAGGAGAAAAGGAGTAGAAATAGAGTAACATCTGTTTGATTGATATTATATTCTGTGGTCAAATGTTCATCTACAAAATGAATTAATGCACTTTGTACAAATATTATTTTTTAAATGTTTTACAAGGAAATGAAGGAATGATGTATTGAATTTTATCTTTGTTCATTTATATAATTTAAAAAGAGGAAACCAATTATTATAGCTTCTTATCTGTAGATTGAATTTTATGTAGTAGTTGTATAAATAACTGACATAAATGGTGTATTTCAGTAGTCATAAAAGGATTTAAGATGAAAAACTTTCAAGTTCACTAACATCTAATTATAACTATCTCAGGATATTAAGCAGGATTATCCTTTAGAGATAGGACATGTTTGTTTTAAAGGACATGTTACATGAATGACCACACAAGAAATATATCAGCTAATGTATAGTTAAAACAAGTCTGTAATAGAATTAACAGTACGTGTATTAGGTCCCAGTTCATCAAGACCACACAAACATGTCAAATTTTAATATTATGTGGTATTTTTATTTGATTAGAGTGTTTACAACTTTTTGATGAAGTATATTGAATTGAACTGTTTTTATTTATGAATAATTTGTGTCTGGGATAATCCGATATGATTAGTAATATCTATGTGGATTAATAATAGAGAATGACTACATGCAGATCTTTTCAAATGCAGTGTCAGTTAGTAGACTAATACATCAGAAGGTTAATTTCAGTAATTTCAAGTTCTGTGTTGTGTTTTCTCATGTGTATGTTGAGAATTTTACACAAAGTGCCATATAGATATTTTACCTGCATTGCATTTGCCAAAATGCCAATATTTTTACCTTAGAAAGGTGGTGCCATTTAGGAAAAAATGTTACTGTATTTCAGTTTTAAGACAGAGATATTCAATTATTTAAATATGCATTTTGGTGAAGCATCAGAATTTGTATTTAAGATATATTTTCTTTTTGACTATTATGGAACTAAAGTTTTAACCCATTTAATTTATCATCCACAGTGGTTTTGTTTTATTCATTTCTTTGTCACATAAATGGCTTCTCAAGTGCTTAGTCACCAAGGGGTTAACTGCAACTACTAGGTCTACCTTAATTCACCTATTTTTCTTATTCCTTGAATTTTCTGTTGTTAATATAATTATTATAAACATTATTGTTATTACTATTATCTTTCTCATTTTTCCAATATTGGCTACAGTAATAGTAATAGTTTTGCCGTCTTAAAAATTAAAGGAATGGGATCATTGCTGTGGTTAGGTAGGCCTAGCCATTGACTCCTTCATAACTCTTTCTCAAGACATCTATTTATAAACAAAGTTAATAAACAACTACAGTTTACTTAATAATTGACTCCTTGGTGGCTATTTTTTTCTCAAGCCATCTGTGTGTAAACAGAATTAATTAAACAAGACCACAGTGCACTCCCAGCATTAACAGGTTAATGTATTATATGTTATCTTTATCTGTATCTTGTGTCAGGACATGTTTCAAAGATAGTAGATTTTTTCCTTAATTAAGTAATAGCATCACTTTTATTTCATTCTGTACAATTTCTTCCATTGAATATCCTATTAGATTTAATAAGTACCTATAGTATGCCAATTCACAGTATGTCATGAGAAGCACTTGTGATAGAGTAATAGTAATAGTTATAATAGGAATGCAGTTCTTGCAGGCAAATAAGATACTGGCTGTATATATATCTAGTCAATGGTCCTTTAAGTGTAATTTCCAAACCTGACTAAAGGATATCACTATTCAGGGACGAGTACAAGAATGTCTTTATGTGTTTTGGTAATGAGGATTATGTTTCATTCCAAGCTGTCAAAGTATTTGTATGGGATAATACCAAAGTTGATTTTATTTCTTATACAGGATGTGTTTTTTTTTATGTATATATGTAATATTTCCGTCTCATTGGGAATTTGACATTGGTATATTGTAAAAGGAATCAGTATATGATTTTATTAATGATGACAAGAAATTCTGTTTTATTTTTCACAACAAAGGACACTGTATTCATCCTATAATGACATTAAGGTGTAAGTAGTGAATATGGTCAACCAAAAGTGTATTTGTAAAAATTATATACCAAGCTTCTGTTTCCTTTTCACCAAACAGGTTATTTGAAATTTAATGAATCTCATGATTAACCACATGTTGAGGGTTAGTTATTAGTGCTGTACAAGTGGTCAAACAAAGTTCATATGACTCAAGTATATGCACCACATTTTTTCACTTAGTGATGTAATATATGTATATATTTGTGATAATCATCTTTGATACTTTGTAGATGAGAATTAAAAGATAGAATTGAGGTATTTTATTTGTCTTGTGCAACATCCTTCTGTGACTTCAGGCTATAATAAGAAAAGGGAAGGGATGATTAAGAAAATATGGAAAAAATATAAGGAAATTGAAATGAAAGATAAATATTGGAAAAGGTTAACATAAAAACCATAAAGGGTTAATGTAAAAATAGTAAGGCAAATATGCATGAACATTTATTGCTGCAGTTTGATAGACACTTGTGAAGGTAAAATATTGAAGAAATAAGTTATGTGAAATGCTTAAAGAATACTCTCCTGGCATAAAGATGAGAGATGATATTTAAATATGTAATATCAATGCTAATAATAATGCATGTTATCATCATGGCCTAATGCAAAATTATATCATGAAAAGAACAGGTAATATTAAAAAATAATCAGATTAAATAGGCCTTTAAAAGACCAAAGACTTCTATAAATAGATTTTACAGAAAAATACTTCAGATTTTTTTGTAGTGCTGTTTTGCTTATCATTCAAAAACGACGGAGAAGACATTAGTTATATTAGTATTCTGTATTTGAATTTGGCTCGCGGATTCGTGCCCGTTCGTGTAAATGTAGTCGTGAGATACATATGTATGAGACCATTTTAATATCAGTACGCGTATCAGAATAAGTTTTTTTTTTATTACATCCACATCGTGAACGCAATTATCTTTAAATGACGAAATTGGTGTTTTTTTTTCTAGGGAAGGTCGTGCCACATCTCAAAATGGGTGCACTTTCCCCGGCAACACAAAATGGCGGCGTGAGTCGGCTGCCGGTTGCGCATGGATTTCTAACTTCTTGACATTTATATGTAGAAATCATATAACCTCTCCTCTCAGTTCTTAAAAAAATAGCAGATCTCAAGTTTTCTGCGACTTTGTAACATCACATAACACAATAATATACCGATCTGATATTTATATAAATCGCATTTGCATTCATAAATGAATATTAAACATTCACTTCCTCGAGTAGTCTGAATATCTATACCATGTTGAATAAACCATAGAATAAAGCTAACATTTTCTTTCGAGGCTCCTTCAGAGTCAAATACGAAATGAACAAAATAATCACATGAATAAAACACATGAAACAAACTAGAAGTGTTCCAGAGGTTAATTCCAACATATAAAACATACATTATTCATAGGCGCTCTGACTAGGGAAAACGCACGCACGCACACACACACACACACACACACACACACACACACACACACACACACACACACACACACACACACACACACACACACACACACACACACACACACACACACACACACGCACGCACACACACACACACACACACACACACACACACACACACACACACACACCTGTACACATACACACACACACACACACACATACGCACACAAACACATACCTGTACACATGCACACAGTAAATACTCTCTCTCTCTTTCACACATACACGCTGTGTTGCAGATTGCAGTTGCAGATTCAAGAGGCGGCCTCCCTCTGTAGTGCGATGAATAACCGAAGATTCATATTTTTTATTCACACTAAGTATGTTCATAATTTGCACTGCTTTTCTGCATGATATTTTTTAAAATGAAAACATGTAAAGTTATATAACCTTAAGAATAGTGTTTTATTGCTCATTATTTCGCTAATTTGTTGAGACTACAATAATAAAGGAAAGATATAATACAATTTAACTGTACTGGATGTCATGTTAAACATCAATCATAACAGTGCCACAGTTTGTTCTAAAATGTTCGGAAAAGGCATGTGAAAGCCTTTAATTAAACACAGGAATATCAACGGCCAGGCACTCTACACTCAGGATTTCCGATGTTTGGCGCTCTATTACATATTCCCTCCCTTCCCAATCCCAATGAAAAATCATGTCACTGTGTATAATATATGTAAAAATTATGCAGGTGCTCCAGACTGTATGATGATGCAATGACAATACAATACAAAGATGGTCTGTGTTTAACTTGATGCAACATGTCCCGTTTTGAACCTCGGCTCACTTGCATGAAACAAATCTTGCCTTGTTTTATTTGTTTGTTTTGTTTTCGGTAGACATTGGCGGTGAGTTGCATGCGATATTCGTTCCTTGCATTACGACACACCTTCGTATTGGTATTCTTGTACACGACGCCTCTTTGCATGCCCTTGCATCATACTTTGTCATTCTAGCTTGCACGTGCATTTGTATATATGTATATATGTATATATGTATATATGTATATATGTATATATGTATATATGTATATATGTATATATGTATATATGTATATATGTATATATGTATATATGTATATATGTATATATGTATATATGTATATATGTATATATGTATATATGTATATATGTATATATGTATATATGTATATATGTATATATGTATATATGTATATATGTATATATGTATATATGTATATATGTATATATGTATATATGTATATATGTATATATGTATATATGTATATATGTATATATGTATATATGTATATATGTATAT